TTTAGTCAAACAACAACAACTATCTCCCTTCTGTGACTGGTGTTAGGGTTTGTTTGTTTTTGTTGACAAATCACAATTAATGCCAAAAAATGAGACAAGTTGTTTTATTAAGCTCCAAAGGTTATTACTGAAGAATTAGATGATAAACAAAAACAGGCAATGACTATATACTACTTTTTAAACTACTGTTTGTTATTTTCTGAACAGGCTTAGCATCAGAGATTAGCCTTCAAATAAACTGCATCATGGAACGAATGTCAAACCACACTATGAGTGTCAATTCCTAAGAAAAATAAAATAAATCTAAATGAGAATGTGAAACTAGTTCAGTTCTAAAACATTTGTTTGCAATCGCCTGTAAACAAAATAACCTTACATTTGATCAAATAACATTCAGCAAACACAAAAACATCAGAGTCCTGCCTGTCCTGGGAGTAACCAAACAAGCCGAGTTACAGATTGATCAAACACACCAACTGTCTGATACAAATGTGCAGGCTGTGCATTAAAACAAACAAATTCACAACAGACTACACTACTCCCTGCAACACAGAAGAATATTATATCAGTGTGGTGAGAGTCAGTAAAAAGATCTCTGTTTAACATAATTAACAAAGCAAAACCACACTCCTACTGGTTTGTCATCATGAGTGTGCCTGTTTACAAATGAGAGACAAAGAACGTGTATGTTTGTGTCCTTTAGTGTGCCTAATCCTTATATTCATGAACTGATAACACTTGGTTAAACTGTCATGCTGGTGATGGAGCTAACTCTGAACAAGTGGAGTTGAGCTATTCTAGCTATTTCTTCCAAGTTTATGAATTCATACATTCATTTCAAACAGAGAGAGAGAGAGTTACAACTTTGCTTTTCAAACATCACACAATTAAATGTTCTCAGAAAACATGAACATGCCTTTACTTATTTACAAATTCATAAACGTATATAAACATGTTTTTATACCAAACTGGATTACTGCTCCAAGGCCAAAACTACAACCCAGATCTTCAGGCTTTAAAATATTTAAATTTCATTAATTTTACTTATTTCAACTTTCACTCATAGCATAGAGGGATTCAGGGAGAAACATTATTTTGTGTATTGTTTGTATGTATTTATACAGGGTCTAAGTTTTGTTTGAAATCCACCAGACTTTAACTGATAGCACTTTGCAATAAAAAGGGAATGTGCCAAAATATGTTACTGATCATGTGAACTGCCTCAGTGCGGTCTGGAAATAAGGCTAAAGCTGAGGCTGGATGTGCTTTTATTGTTTTAGAATGACGGAAATGCTGTCAGAGTAGGGATAACAATAGTAGCTGTATCATCTGTTCACAAAGCCAGACTAGAACAACCACACATGTCTTCACACAAATTAAAACAAATCACTCTGAAACATATGGAAATATAACATCCTTCCACAACAAGTCTGACCAGTGTGACCACAGCAGTGGGATTAAAACAGAAAGTTTGGTCTGAACACTACTAGCCTTACAACAAGTACTGTAGATGACATTACTAACAGAGAGGAGTCAACCAAAAACAGTCTCAAGATATCGTTGAAAATTATTTGCATTTGTTGCCAACACAGTCAAAGTACGACCCACACAAAACCTCTGAGGAAACTCTGACCACAAGCTGTGCACCTAGAAATCACTGAACAAAAACAGGTTTTGGTGCAATGACTTTTTCCTTTCTGTTAACAAAAAAGAAGAGAGGAGAAAAACAAACAAAATCAAAAAGGTCGCCTGATAGATATAAGCCTGTGTGGCTCAATGCTGTCCTATTAGTACAAAGAATACCAAACACAACAGTTACACACAGTTACCACCAGAAATACACCCACAAGAGCTTAGATAAACATTGCTGAAGGATTTAGGATTTTATTTTAGTGGCTTGTTTGGCCCACACACGAACCTCAAATGCAAAATTTTGGTCTGAATTTCAGAAACGGCTGGTGAATATCACAGGCCGCCAAACAATGGTGCTTACAGAATTCAGAACAAATGATGGAATTTGACCCAAAAATTGCTTGTGAAGTCTTTCACATGCTACTTCTTGGTATATGGCGTTTGGTTTGTCTTAAAACTTGTCATGGCCATGCTAAACATGAACAACCTTGTAATGAGATATCGTAGCTGTTTAGGGGCATGAAGAACTTTAAAAAAATAAAAAATAAAAATAAAAATCATTGATAAAAACATTTTAGATGTATGACTTTCTTTTGCTTACAATGGTTGCACATTTTTTAGTCTTGCCTTTAAATGAGGTTTTCCTTTTGGAGTACCAAGCACCAACCAGACGCCAAATTGGTAATATTACAACCCACCCTGCTCGCCCTGTTTAACCTAGCAAAATGGACTTTTACAGCTTCCTCATTGCTACTTCAGGTTTGCCTCGTTGTCTGCTGAAAACAATTTCCATGCGGTAGCTTAATGTGTTTATACCACAGACTGTACATATACTGACGCACTGACTAGCTACTTTACGGAATAAAACATTAAAATAGTTTAACTGAGTAGAAAATGGGGTTCATGGACTTTGTATGGATGCTTGGACACACCCTTGAATAAGGTTATCAGCCCTCTGTCTTCACAATGAATCATTAAAAAGGTGAGATTCATTTTAGATAGAAATTCACTAACTTTTTCCTATCTTTTCGCTCTAAAATATTGTATATTTAAAGGCACGTTTCTCTAGGGACAAAAAATGCTCCAATTAAAAAATACATTAAAAAAAATATATATATATTATATAAGACATGACACTGTCCCGAGAGTGTCTCATAATACACGGATGAGTTTTTATTTATTTATTTTTAAACGAATTAATTTATACAGTTAACAAACGTTGGACTCAGTATCGTCGAATTAATTAATTAAAACATAAATAAATAACAAAAGCAGATATAAAACAGAATGAGTCCGATGTCTCCATAAACAGTCGGTCACCGAGCACGTACGTAACCACAGCCAGCGTTCAAAAAGATGTCAGAACTCTGCAGCCATAAAGATTCAAAAAATAAAAAAAGAGGCCTAATTTACATTAGTTTGGCTACCTCACAAAAGCTAAATCCGTCAAATCCTGCTCGGAAAGTTAATCTTATATGTTGTTGACAAAATGTCTTAAAAGTCGTGGTCTAATGACTAGTTTAAATCTCTGTGTGCTATTTCCGTCCTCAAAGTCCAGGAAGCATTTAATTCTGCGCAAACGTAAACAATTTCTTTTTTTTATTTTTTTATTTTTTATTTCTGTAGAGGCTAACTTCTTCGTTTGGGTTATTTTCTATAAATGTCGGTCTTTTAAAACAGTTTCTGTAATAAAAGACATGGTAGTCCTTAAACTTGACAGATTTCCTCTTTAGCTTTACTAACGTTGATGCAAACACAACACTCTCCGAGCCTTGACTACGAGCAGCAGCCGCAATCCGCCATGTTGAAATCTGTCTACAAACACAACTTTGCAAGCTAAATATCGAGCAGCGGCTGAAGCAAACCCCGCATTTATGTGTCATTTAACAACGGTGTTGATTTAAGAAACACTTACCGGTGGCGGACGGACTTTGCAGATGCCAGTTCTCTCTGCTATGGGTCTTATTTTGTTGATGTACGCAAAGGGGTCGGCAAATTCCTCCCAGCTGGGCTCAAAAACAGGGCACTCCGGTGGGGGAATGAACTCATTCAGTTGTGGTTGAGTCATCGTTTCATCTTCGGTATGACTGCAGCTGGAAATGTTTCTGAGGGGCTTCCTCGAGCGGAATATGCTCAGTAAGCTATTTCAACTTGTATCCGTTCAGTTCATGTCCACTCTTCACTCATTGAACTCAAAGACGAATTATCTAGTTGGAGACGAGAGGGGGGGGGGGAGGACAGTCAGAGACCGTGTGCCTCCGCTTCAAAAAGTAGACACTAGCTATGTTTTCATGAAAGGGGCATTTTACATCCTATTTGTGGCGTCATTATGCGACAAAACACAGTTACATGCTCGTTTTACAAGTAATTATGGCGTGTTTATTATTTTTCTATTTACTACACAGATACTTTCACGTTGTAGGCCTCTTGCCAGGAGTTATATGCATGTAGAAGTGTATTGTAGCTGAGTAACAGCCTTTACAATCATGTGCTTTTATCCCACAATACAATTTTCCCTCTAACAGTCAAGGCTTTTTTGGAACAATGCTCACTTGTTAAATAAAACCGATTATTGGCTGTATGGTTTTATCTCAGATGATCTCTCCCCTTACTGGATGAGTTCGATTTTCTCACCTTCTTGACACGCGTATTTGCGAAATTCGCTTTGAAATGACGGGATTAGTTGGACACGGCTCTTCATTCGCCCCGCCCGGCCCGACCGAAATAATAGACGTATCAGACGGAACGTTGGGCTTTGTAATCGAACACACCTACTAGATCTATGCGCGCTGACCGGGACTTCTTTTTTAAATGGTCAAGAGAGGAGCTCGTTGATTGGTAGAGACTGAAGTCATATGTTCACAATTTCATTTTTATCTATTCATATCTGGTTTTAAAATTAGGCCTACACAGTTCCTTAGTTCCGACTCGGCAACAGATATACCCCTATAAAAAGGTAAAAAGTACGAAATATGATAAGCGCTTGTTAGTTTGCTGTCCCACTGTAGTTGTTATTGTTCAGTTTTGGCAGACAGTTGTTAGAGTAAAATAAAAAAACATTAAAAAATATATATATTATTTGTTAGCAAAGGACTGAAGGACTAGCCGTGTGATTAGTGTATTAGTGTGTGTGTCTGTCTGCCAAACAGAGGCCGGGAAGAAAAAGTTTGAGAAACACTGGGCTATATTCTTAGCATTTTAATAATAGATAACATGAGTTAAATGCCTAAACGCTTATATAGCATTGGCCTCCAAATGTATAACTTCTGTAAAACATTTATTTTCAAAAGACCTTTAAAAATATGAATAAATCACTCTGCATCCATAATGTTCTCTATATTTAAGAACACTGAAAGGCAAACAAAAAGCAATTATTTATTGGGTTTATTTAAGTGTGGGGGAAGTGTCTGTAGCTGACAGGTGCACATTACATTTAAGGGAAGCCTCAAATAATAAGTTAAAATACTGAAACCATGACGTCTAGTGGCAGACAGTAGAACTACACCCTGATATAATGAATTATTTGGGTTTATGGACTGGTCCACTCATCTTCGAAAACAACCCTGACATTTTCTTTCCTGAAGAATTCACAGATCATCCTGTAACCTGTTCCTGTGATGTCTGTAGGTTAGATAGGGTATAAGGAACACCATCTTAAAGAAGCTGTTGTATTTTATTTATCTCAAAGAATATTTAAAAATAAAAAGGAAAAAGGCAATCTAATTTCTATTCAAATGTGAATTGCCATCTTTAACCTAACCAAGCACCATTAATTTAATTAAATAAGTCCCATGAACATTTGAAGTATATTTGTCTGTTATTTATGTTTTCATATGATTTGGATTTTCTTCATACTCTAGGCCTATTTTAGACTTGTGTAAACATGTGTGTGACTTCATGACAATTTCAGAACTGAAAATGTAAAAAAACACAAATACAATTAATACTTTCCATCATTAGACCTATATAAACATAACAGGCTGAATGTCAGGCTATATTGCTCATTTCAACAAATAAAGGAAGTGCATTTCTATGTGAAGGGCAAACACTTTTCAATATTGAATTGTTTTTTGAGGGCTGCAACAAAAAGTTAATTCCTGTTTTTAACAAGCTTTAAAATGTGTCTCCATAGATTATATCGTTTTGAGAAGCCTACCAGGAAAAATAAAACTGTCTTGAATAAGGTTGTACAGCCTATACATGCAGACACTAGAGCTGAATGTGCAAATGTTTAAAGAAATGTGACAAATGCTATCACAAGTACATAGACCCTGACTGAATGATCTTCCAACCAGTTTGACCAAAGTACAAAACTTTTCAGGTTTTTGAGATGAAAAATAAAACAGCAAATATTTGCGATGCTGAAAAAAAAACAAAGCTTTGTTTTTCATTTTCTCAACACAACACTTATTTAAAGCTTGTTAAAATTGTCTGATCATTTTAGTACTTAACTATTTCAGATAAAAAAAAGAGTACTTGTGTAATTATTTCTTCCACTCATGGTTTAAAAACAGACATTTTCAAATTACTAATGTGACTAGATTTTTTGAAGGTTAAGATACACTGGGATGAAGGAACTTAATAGGAAATGACCGAAATGACCCATTAAAAAGCTGAAGGATGAATTTGAAAATCATCTTCCAAAAAACATCTTTATTAGAACAGGATGGTCACACTGCTGTCAGGATGAAAGAGACGCAGTCTAATTATCATAAACATTGTACACATAACAGTTAATGTAAAATTGAGTGTGGTGGATTAAGGGCCTTTCAGACAGGATGTGCTGCCCTTTAAGCTGGGGTCAACTCTGGGAACAAAAGATGAAAATCCTGCCAACACATTTTTTAAGTTCTTGGGGACTAACTTTTGCATTCAAGCTAATCATGTTTTACCCTTTCCACTGCTACGTAGAAACTTTTCTTGTCATCCAAACAGTGCCAGCCGATTGGTCCAATTTCACAATCTGCACAGATGAGATATTTGATTCTCCCAACGTCCTTTGTGAAGCCCACGTTCTCAAAAGTGTACATGTCGTCCACGAACCAGTGAGCAGTCAGAGTGTCCCCATCCACTGAGCCTTCTGCCGTGCTGCTGAGGCCACTCTTTTTCCGCATGGATGGTAGGAACAGCTAGTGGGAGAAAACAAAGCCTCAGATGACATAAAAACAGAAGAACTCATCAGATTTGTACTCAGTATGTGAATGGAGGGGTTGCAATCTACCCAACTCTAATATTGTGTACTTTCTCTACATATATTAATACCATCTTAGAAAAGACATAAAAAAAAGTCTGAATGCAACACTTACAGAAACCTCCCCTGGCTACCTGTTGCTTTCTGAAGGCACTTCATAATCCTGCCCGCGTGATAGAGATATCCAAATGGCTTCTTTCCTTTGTTTATAATTTGCATATTTTATGAAGTGGCATATTTTTAAGGTTATATAATTGAGCAATATTCTTTCAACTTTCCAAAAGTTTCTTGACATTTGCATTTAGCTCTCATATGCACAAATAAAAGTGAGTTTTCCTGCCGATATTTAATGCTCATTAAATAAATCAAAAACTTTAAAGACCTAACTTATACTAACCATAGCTTTGTTGAAATGTGTACTAGTAATGTCTGTGATGATCCTTTCTATAAATTGTATTAATTAGTGTAAAAGTAAGATTTAAGATCCTTTAATAGTAGTGACATTTCTGCACGTAAAATCACGCACGAGATCACAAAGAATAAACATTGTACTGAAGCAAGACAGCATGAGCAAAATGCACTTAAAGTATCTCAACCACTATTTACAATGTGAAGGCAGGACTCTGACATATCACTCCCTTGATATTCTTGTTAAATATCATACCTCCTTCTCTGCAAACACAGCCATCCCAGGGCACAGCACCTTGGATCCGCAGCGTTGGCACACGACAGTCTTGATGTTCTTACCATCCTCAGAAACCAGGCCGGGCTCAACTATGAAGTCTTTTGACTGCTGATCGTTGTCCATTTCTACTCCTGGCGAACCACAGATTTACTCTGAAGTACATGCAGAGAAGACGTGTGACACAATATCCTTCACGAGTCCAACCGGACAGAGCGATTCACCACTACGTTATATTATAGTGTCAAACACTATATGCTAAATATTGAAGCGACATTACAACGAAAAGAAAGATGTGGCGCACAGAGAGTGGAACGGAACTACGAGTCTTCCGAATATTTGTAGTCCGGAAGTCAGTGACAAAGAAAATCACTCAAGTTTATATTTTTCATTAACCATAAATTGTGTCAATCACTACAACAGGCCATAACTTGAGTGTATTGTTTAAGCCAAACTAATGACAACGTCTATTTAAAAATAAAACTATGGTTAATCAATCAAAACGCAAGCCCTGCCCAATGCATACATGCTAGCATCTATGCTAACACGGATTCAACTTGACAGAAGATACGACAAATACCTACATCCCGAAAATTGAAATAATTTGAAACACACTTTTGAAATGAGGTAAAATACAACGTACCGAAATGTGGAAGAAAAAGCAAGGATGAACAGGACAAGAATTCGGAAGATGGCCCTGTAAGCTATGCTAACATACTTGCTGCTCCTGACGTTTACCAGCCTACAAATGCTCTCGATGAGAAACACGACATGGCTGATATTTTGTTCCTCATTATCACTAAAATATTTTTCAGGTATAAAAAGAATATTTGGACGAAAGATTCAGATTTTTTTCCCCCCTAATGTTTTTTTTTTTTTGACGTATAACCTTAATATAAAAACATGTCACGAGTAAAAGTCCGTCTTTAATCCGTTACCTTGGTAACAGCCTCAGACTGTAAACGACAGCAGAAAAGTACTTACTGCTCTTCTGTCTATCACATTAATAGTATTATTTCAAGCCAGCATCTTTTTTCCTGGGTGATGCAGCATTCTTATCGAAAAATAAATCCACTGGATTTGGCATTCGTCTATCTAGGTATAATATGAGTCGTATACTGACATTAAATCTGTAATGAAATGTCTGAAAAACAGCTTTTCTATACAAGCAAAATGTTGAATACAACATTACTGTGTTTGGAGACAGTGTGGCACATATAGTGTCAGTGTCTGTGATTAAAGTGTGCAGAATCACCCAAAACCATTCATGTAAAATTAAAGGGATACTTCACCTATTTGCATTAAGCTTTGTATCATTAGAAACCTGGTAGTATTTTTTGAATGGTCGTGCATCCCACCCTCATTTTCCCCTGAGATGGGAAATCTTTGTATTTCTAAGTCTTTAAAGGAGCTTCCAATGACGCAAAAATCATCATTTTGCATCACTGGAAGCTGTTGCGGTTAGCCGGGTGAAACTACAACTCCAGTTCCTCATATTTTCGACCACTGAAGCTACAGATCTACCACAGATCAGTAGGTGGAAACTCTCTCCCAGAATCGAAACTTAACGTCCGCCATATTGCTTGGTAGCTATGCTAACATGCTCTATGGACAAAGCTGATAATGGCGAAACAATATAAATATAGCGTCGAGATGGCTGCTGCCGACAGGTCGGTCTTGTCTTTTGGCTGCTGCGGCCGAGACATAAGGCCTGCCTGTCAGCGGCGGTGAGGATGAGGAGCCCGGGTCGGCTCTATCTGGGGCGGGCTGGTAGTGTCTGTGCTCTCACTGTTTGCTTATGGACACAGACATAGAGTCTGTTTTCTGCCAGGAATTTCCAAGATGCTAATTCCTTCTGGAAGAAATCTCAGAATCAGTTGAGGAAACGGCCTTATGTGTTGAAGTAGGCTAAATATGTTTGTAAACCTGACCTTAGTGGGAGTAGCCTGCAGTGCTGTGAGCCAAAAGGACACTTTCTGCCTTTTTTGGACAAGAAGGCACCAACTTCAAAATGTATTTCACATATCTACTACATATATGACCCAATGTCAACACAGATTCATGTTTCAACGGGTGAAGTTTCACTTTAAGTTTGATAATTTATTTATTTATTTAGTTTCAATGTATATAATTTGTTGCAATGCAGTTTAAGAATTTCAGTTATGTCTTCTTGCTTTTCAAAGTCAGCCTCGATAATGCATGGGACGGCTCCTATCACAGAGTTATCACCATCTGCAATTACTGTCTGAAACAGCCATTCCTCCCTGCACTTAGAGAGACTGTTTTACCGTTGATGTATGTTCTGTCAAAGAGCGTATGATATCAACTAACCAACCACAGTCCTCATTGTCCTTCTGCCTTCATTTTGGTTTCTCTTGGTCTTGGACATGGTGTGCTAATCTTGTAAATTTGACACAGTCTATGGTGCATCTCTGATGTTTATAGTGATGAGGGTTTAGAATGGGTGACATGGTACTAAACGGTAGAAAGCAGGTCTACCCGGGTTCGCCAGGATCTTGAAAACACATCAGAGACAACTAGACACTGTGTTTTGACATGTGGAAAAAAATTTATTACAATAATTTTCCAAGATTACCATTAATAAATATTTATGTTTACATTTCAGTGAAATGTATGATTTATCACTTTCCACACAGGACATTACACAAAGTCAAGAATACACATTGTTTTAGTCTTTGTAATAAAGCTTGAATAAGTTGATCTAGAAAAAGGAGTCTTAAACAGCAGTTGATACAACCTATCAATGGAGTTGAAAGTTCAATAATGATTTGATTGTATATATGGCAAGGAAAACAAGAAAAGTCAAGATCTGGAAATCCTTGAAGCTCCCTTGACTGTGAAGATAGGCCGTTTTATTTAAAAACACTTCCGTTGGCCTAAGGCACAGGAATACTAAAAGTTTATATCAATCATACATAACACCTTTGAAACCCTATATGGTGATTTAAAGTTTAGAATTTTATAGTATACACTAAGGTGCATCTGAAATTTACACTTCTCATTGCATCTGAAATCTAGCACAAAAGAAAGTTTTCCACAAAAGGAAAGCACATTTTGACCTATCCAGACCTGTGCATTGTGCATAGCCCAGGAACTGTTACTAAAGGAATAATCAATGTGTTGTTTAACTGAAAAAAATCACTAAAGAGAGTTCTTTCTAATTCATCATTTTAAGCATCTTAGTTTAACCCAAATAGTTTCAGTTTTCTCTGCCACTTCGACAAGGTTTGAGAGTTTTTTCAGTTTAACAAATCATTTAACAAAATAGGAACAACAAAAAAAACAGTATAAAAGTTTACAGGGATTTACATGAGGTATTCAACCTCTTTGTTTAGGGAGGGATTTTTGATGATCAACACAAATTGTTTTCTTAGATAAATCTATAGATCATATTTTTGTATTAAAATCCTGTGTTCTTTAATGATAATGTGCCATTGGGTTTTTAGGGTTGGCCTTCAGAGTCAATTTCATATTTATTGCAGAGCAGTCATGGGCCTGGTTGCCCTGTGTTTTTTTTAAGATTTCAATCAAACAATCATTTATTCAGGTTATATGTGTATACATGTGTCTTTCTTGTACAAATTTGTGTGCAGGCCCTCAAGCTACCTATAAAGTCCTGGATCCCTCTACATCTCACTCCTGGACAATAGTACATTCATCCTCTAACCTGCATGGATACTGCGGGGAAGAAAGGAATGGTTTACAGCATTGGCCCTCTGCTACAGCACAGATAAAACTCTCTGTATCCTTTATGTAATGGAAACACACAATGGAGAGGTCGGGGAACTAGAAGAGCTAGCTACTCATAAGTGACCATCAGTTGACTGAATCTGTGATATTGGTTTAAACCTAATTTTGATCAAACTTGGAAATGCAGACTTCAAGTTTCATAATTATTGAACAAGTAGTGATTGTTGTTGATTTCCCTCCATAGTTCAATGGCTAGTTAGTGCTACTCTATTGGAGCAAAACAGAGCCAAACAGAAATAACACCAAATTATCAAATCAGAAGTACAGAAGGAGCAATAAGTGACTATATTTAATTCTAGCAGCATTTTAAGTGTGTGTTTGGTGTGTTTCGGTGTGTGTATGTGGGGGGTGGGGGGTGGGGGAGGTAACAAGGGGGAGTAACAAAGAAAAGTATGAGTAAGTCACAGTCAGGCCTCTCAGAGTAGAGTGTCATCTGTGCATCCTCCCTCGAGGCCATAGCGGAACTCCTGCAGATTGGAAACCCCGTAGAAGTGGATGAACGCTGCTGCCACGACTAGCACGTGAAAAATCTGATGAGAATGGAACTAGAGGGAGAAAAAAGTTACCATCGTCAAATTTCATATATCAATCCATTCAAGAAAGTAATTTGCCTGTGAAGTAATGATAAATTCTTTCTCTATTGCTGTCTCTACCTTTCTGTTATTTCCTACATGGTAAAAAGCATCTGTTGTCTATAGTGAGCTATAACTTTAGACGTCAGTCTCTTATGAATTATCATTATATTACCCTCATCATTTTTATAAGTGTAACTATTTAAAACAAAGCCCATTCAACATGATTTTCTTCTTAGCAATGATAGCACTCAATGTTTTCCCTAATTCTGAATCATGTTTGGTTCATAAAGGATTGATATTAATTTATTTTTTGAACCTAATCTGATTCTTCATAGATTTAGGCAGCTTGTAACATTTGTGAAATTCGGCCTTTTTCATTAAGTTTATGTTTTTTATTATACTTGGATAATACTATATATACCAGAGTAGAAGTATCTCAAACAACAGTAAGATACACATTTGTTGTCTAAGAGGCAATTATGAAGCATTTAATCAGGAAATATGCCCAAACATAGCAGGCCTATCCCATTGGCAGTTTTATCCCTTTGGTTGCCTATGTAGAATACTTTGAGCGGCTTCCGTGTTTAAAAAGTGCTCTATAAATAAACCTTCTCTGATTTGAAAACATAAATGATGTCCTAAAGAAACCACCTGACTTTCTTAAGTTCTTTTATGTCATGTAAATACATCAAGTACTTACCCAGATGTCACACTTGCCAGGAAAATACCGCTCAGGGATCCTGGCTGCATATAGACCAGCACCAGTGATATACATGGCCCCCATCAGGTAGAACCAACCCATTTGTCCGACTGTGGTGGCCTTCACAAAGCCTTCCTCAATGGTGAAGTGCATGGTAGGAACAATGCCGCTCAGACCAAGTCCCATGAAAACACCTAAGAAAAGCAGAGACCTCAGTTGCACATTTCAAGAAAAAAAATGGTGATCATTGGAAAAAAAACAACAGCTTTGTGATTACGCTACAGTTATAAACCAAAGCAAACAGTTGCATAAAGTAACACTGAAAAGATGGTATCAAAATGTACCTGCTCTTGTAGGTCTGTGACGAGGTGTAGAGAACCGGTCCCATTGAGCCACTATGATGGCAGCAATGCCGAGGACACATACAATGGTGAGGTAGATAAGTCGAGGCTGAGGGGAGCAGTAGAAGGAGTAGTACAGCCAGGGCACGAAGGAGCCCATGATCAGGAGGGCAATGCCCGAGTAGTCAAGCCTGAAGAGAGGGAGTGACAGAGAGACCACAGGGGGATGAAAAGCTGAAACAGGTATGCCTTCTCATGATTCTAAACACTTTCCATATTTAACACTCACTGTCAATGATGGGTTTTAATAAATGAAGATGCATTTGAGTAACACAACATATACTACAGGGGGACACAGTAGCATAAAGTTCACTCCCAGTAATTAACTCTGCAAAGGCCTGTCAGGCTCAACAGTAGAAGGCCAGGGGTCAGTTTCTAGCTCAAGGACATTTGACACAAAAGATTAAGGGGTCAAACCCCAAACCCTGTGGTTGAAGAAACACAGTGCCCTACTACCTGAAGCCACAAACAATTTATATATTAAAAATGTAGAACTTTTAACTTTAACTGACATTTTATTAATGAACAATCATGAAATGGAATACACTGAAAGAGTCAAATGTTGAGAGAGAAAGGAGAGACGGCACCTCATATTGGAAAATGACATGCTGATTTTAGGTTCGTTTTGGCTGCACTATGGATCATTTTGTCCTTGGATAATCATTCTGGGCGTATCCCTCTTTAATTGCACTGAACTCTAGAGTGCAGTGTGAGCTGCATGTAGTTGAGAAACAGTGTTTGTCAGTAGGAGGGCTTACTTGGAGAAGGTGCGAGACACTTTCTCAGAGTGGCAGTAGACGGTATGAAAAAGCCAGGAGAAGCTGAGGCAGAGTACAGCTCCCAGGAAGAACATCCCGAACACCACTTTCTCTTGCAGAGGAGCCATAAAGTACATGTTGGGCCGCAGCATGGTTAACGTGCCCAGGCAGATGAATAGAATCAGCCCTGGGGGGGGGGGGAGAGACCAGTTTCACTATCCAACAAACAAGAGAAAAATACGCGACTGAAACTGAAGTCTAAGAAATGTTTGAAATGATGTGTAAGGGTATCATCCTTACCTAACAGGTGAGTCCAGATGTTTCCTGTCTCAGTGTGAATTCTAAAGATGCTTCCAAAACAGGCCCTGAATGAGGGCATAGGAGGGCGATGTCCATGCAGGAGGTAATCGTTATCCTTCAGCCACTCTGGCAGGACATGAAAAGGAATGACCCTCCAGCGGCCCTCCCAAACCTGAATCACAAGAATAGCTTGAATTACAAGATGCATACAGTCATATGAAGTACAGTAGCTGTCTCTCAAACATGTAACCTATGCAGCTGATGAAAATACTTTCATTTGCAACAGAGAACTACTCTACATGCAGTTTGAAAGTAGAAGGGTTAAACACTGGTAATACCAAATCTGCCAGTCAGACTTTTTAAAGAACCTTTACAGTAATTCTGTGAATGTCACAGCAGCGAAGAAGGAACTACTAATTTGATTTTGTAATAAATCGGAAGGGGGCACATGTGACATCAGAAATGTTTGTGTCTGCATTTATTTATTGTTTACATTGTCCTTATGGTAGATCTCAATAACCACATAAAGTATACAGTAAATAAAGTCTTTAAGCCGGATTTTCTGCTCAAGGTTCTTCTCTGTATCTATGTGTTCTGATGCTACTTCACTGACAACTGGTTCCTCTGTTAGCTGATATTTGTCTCACATTGTGCTTTGCTTATTTAATACAGCATACATTCATCAGTTGCCTGCCTGAAAAATGAAACATGAATAAATCAGTCAAACTACTCATCAATACTAAGTTGACCCCTTGTTGTTGTTGTTCACACAAAACTGCAGCTGTACGTCATTTAACCAGAGCTCTACTGGAGCAGGTAACACCTTTGAGATGAGCAGAGTGTTGAGTTTCAGCTCAGTTAACCTGCTGATGCAACATTTATGCATGTGCTGTGTAAAGGCCTTTTATTTTCCACGACACGCCCCAACAGAATGTTTCCCAACTGATTTTCAACAATCAAGATCTACTTTGAGGGACTGAGGATGACTGAGTTTGTCGTTGAGAGAACCAGACATTACTACTATGTGTTATTGCCATGGAAACGTGCTCATCCTTGCACACTGGATCTGAAAGCAGCAAAGAGAAGTCAGATTGGATATTGTGCACTGACCTTCTCACACTTAACTCAAACAAGTTAAATTTGATTTGATTTTGATTTAATTAAATTCAGGATATGAGACAATGTAGGGGCCCACTTAATAAACCACTAAAGGCTAAATCTACTAAACAAAATACTATTTGGTTCAGTTCATTTGACTCTTTTTTTTCTCCGCTGTTTGCCAATAATTACCTGGTGTGTGAGGTTGCATTTGTATAGAAACTATGACACAGATATGCCTGGGAAATCTCAAATAAAGATCTTAACGTAAAAAAAAGTAATCTGAATCAATGTTAGTGATTTAATGGTCATTGGATGAATCCATATATATGGATAATTACATCCCCTATTGTTACAAATGCAAGTTTTGTGTCTTTTAATTAAGTTAGGATGAGAGATTTACTTTGTGTACAAACTCCTCCATCTTCTCCATGGCATGGTGAGCTTGAAGTGGTAAAGTCAGCACCTCTCCCACCTCCTCATCCTCCTCTTCCTCATCAGCAAGCACTGCCGCTCCCTTGAAAGAGATCACAAGAAAAAAAAAACTGAAGCTTCTGAGCCATAAGAGCTATGTACGTACATTTTCTGAAACAGCTGTACCTCTGAATGCAAGCCTTTAGACGCTGCCTGTCGCCCCCCTCCCTCCTTCAGCAGCGGCCCCAGCTCCATCAGCTCAGCATCTGGGACACGGCAGTCCTCAGAGATCCGGCAGTCTGCATCACTTGCAGACCCGTTTCTGCCTGACATAGGGAGTATGCCTGATGACCCACTCACAGTCCTTGTATTCGGCTCTGGGTGGTACACTTCAATTTCCTCCTGAGCAACAAATATCACAAACAACTTTAATGGTTAACCTCAGATAATGTACACCAGATTGCAGTTAATCTCAATAAACATTACGCTGCTGAGAACAAATTGAAATGAAGACGCAATTATACACATAGAGCGTAACAAAGACATCAACCAAACAAAGATAAATAATCATAAAAATGACCATGATAATATTGGGATTATATGAAAAGATAATACAAATACAGTACAACTCACACTTAGTGCGAATGACAAGCTATGCTTGAAACATTTTAGTTTTTCATGGAAAATCATAAAAATCATGAAAATGTGTCATTTGTTGAGCTCACTACCAAACAAGCGTGTCTTCTTACATCTGGACCACAGTCCTCCAGTGCAATGCTGTTTTGTCATACATTTGAACTTTATCAAACAATTACAGCTTCTTTAATTTGATTTTTACAATTTGGCTTTTTGCTGTTTTGATATTATTTTAATTAATAGTATATCCTTAGATAGTTTACAGACGACCATGACATATGAAAGAAATACAATAAAACATATCTCGATAATGAAACGTCAGCTGATTCTTAAGTACAAAAATTTGGAATTTAGACAAATGATACACACAATATTTATTTAAGTCCGGACAATTCATGTTAATGCATCAATGATAACCAATGCAGCAGTGCATCGTGACAGGGATGTTTTGTGGCATATTGTGTTAGTCGCGGTGAAGATACGGTACAATCATTACATTGCACATAAAATGTAAAGGATATTAACATGCAATTGAACAATGATAAGGTTTCATATCGCACAGGAGGGGAGTATATAGTTGCACTATTATTTCAGATTACTAACACTCAAATTAAATCGCCTTTGTTTTGTTGTGTCTCGTATGAAATCTGTTACATCGATTCACAACAAGAGAACAAAGAAGCGGCTGAACTTGTTGAGATTTATGTCACCAGCCATTATTATTAGACGACAATCATCCCGGGTCAATATAATAAACACATAGTAGAGAAAGATTCGTTACATGGATGACTGACAACACAAACAAAACGTTTAACCAAGTTATTGTTCAGCAAAGCCAAAGCAGACGGATGTTGACCAGCACAGCGCCAGAGGGAACATGGAGTACAACATGTAAACAACCGCAAGATACCGATGATATAACGTGGATTCATCGTGTCTGTGCGGCTTATTACCATTAAGAGTCCAAAGATGAATTAAAATGCAACTAGAAAATGTATGTTTTAGTTAGCTGGTCACGGATCGCTCGCACATCTGCTTGCTAGCTTTAATGTTACCTTTAAGCTAGCTGAGCTATCGCTAACAAGAACCAGTAGAGCAGGAGACTGGTTTGTGAATTAATCCACCAAAAGCAAGACAAAGCTCTTTTCCACGACATATAACATTATGTAGCTAACTTACTGAGCTGACGTTTACTTAAACAGTCTTATCAAACAGAAATAAGTTACCTTACAAGGAAGACTTGAAACCAGGAAGGTGAATTATTTATCGTTATGCGAAAACCAACACAATCCCGTCCGGAAGTTGAGATCTCTGCCAGACTGTAAACCTGATCCACACCCTCTTTCAAAATAAAGGTCACCCTAAAAAAATAAATATACTTTTGATTAATTTATTTATATTTGGAAAATACGCAAAAACAAACACGAGGAAGAGTTGTATAAATTATATTGCCGTACTGCGTTTTGGTGAAGATTCTAAAATTCACAGATTTCATTAAAAAAATATATAATTAACAACTCCTGTTTCCAGGGTATTGATTATTAAATAATCCAAGTTTTAATTTGAGATACATGATGAACTGTGACTGAGCGAGTGGATAAAAGTCTTCATTCTCACAGCTAATAATTATTGATTAATGCTTTGATAAAATAAAAAACATCGTATCATTTTCTGGAGAAAAGCACACAAGTATTATTAACACATCAAACACTTTCTTAGGACTTTAACCGGGTCAGCTAAAAAGCGTATTTGTTATATAACAAGCTGTTATGTTAACATCAACATCAAGCACTTTCTAAAGTTCATAATCCACTTCATGAGATAGTTACCTGTCAGGTGTGTTCACAGAAACACTAGGTAGATTTAAATGTAAACAGAGTGCTTAAACAGGCCTTTTTCACAGCAGGTATATTTTCATTGAAGATAAAGCACATTTTATTTATAAGATTAAAGACAGATCAATAATTTAAGTGTACCAGAACCCTAAAGTGCTTGATGACATTTAGCTATCATTAATTTAATTATATACCCTTCTTGATTTTTCACAGATCATGTCAGAATATCCGATTAAAAAAAAACCTTCATTGTAAGTAAAGGAAACTCAGCACGATGCAAAAATTACTCTTTATTTTCTTCCACAAAGAAAAATGTATTCACAGATTTTTTTCAGTAACAGAACACATAATCAGGTCCACCTAAACTACAATATAAATATTTTTAAAAAGACAGTAAAAAAGAGGCACGCAAGGATACATGATTGTTCGACTAGGCAGTCTTTCACAATGCTGGTTTAAATAAACTCAGGGTCATGACGACTTGTAGTGGTTCTAATAAAAAGGTTCATGTTTGGTGATCCGCTGTATCAAACACCTGTGCACACAGACAGTGTTAAAGATTGTGTTAAAGCTCAATACATTTTCATCTCAATTTAACACCTTAATAGCTGCCAAGCATCAAGACTCTGCTTTTGTTTTAATTTGCTACACTTTACATCCGGTGATTAGTTCATATCTAGTTTCAACTAGTTGATTACGTTGATTATTAATTCAAGTTAATCGGCACAGCCATACACATGTATGGAAACGAGACAAGTTTGACAAATCTTAAATTTAAGCAGCTCAATTTCATAATAGTGGTAACAAAAATCAACATAATAAACAAAAATGTAGGTTTTAAAAAAAAGAGGACACATTGCATGTTTACATCATATTACAATGATTTTCTATTCTCCAAACAGCTTGGTGAGAAAAGAGAAGAAGACTATGATCATCCCTAAACAAAATACAAAAAGTTAAAGCCCATCCTCAAACAAATAGTTTGGCAGTGATTTTCTGGCTACATAAAAGAGTGTCTAATGTAGAACATGTTGTCAAGTTAGGTACCGAAAGCAGTTTACCAAACAGCCTTAGATGTTAGCTTTTGGAAATGATAATAATGATATCCTTATACGTCTAGAATTTCATAAACAATAACCTAAAAGTTAATTCAAAGAATAAAACATATTTAATAAACATTCACATTTCTTTCCATCTTCCTACATTGTGCACATCTGCCTCGAGAGCTGCAGCTCTCTCCAACCACTGCTCATGTTAATATTTGTTTAACAGGTCTACATATCAAAATGAACATGTTATTAATGACGAAGACTCTCTGTATTAATGACTTTTTCAACCAGTGCAGAGCTGACAACTGATATATCGTGTCAGACTTAGACATCTTGTTCTCAAAAAACAGTCATAACTCAAACAGTGCTAAGTTATAGCAAGTATTTTATCTCTTCAAATTCACTTAATTCATTAAACAAGTTTTACCTGTGACACCTAATTTGCCACTCTTAGTACAAAACAAACTAAACAGCAGTTGTACCCCAAAATCCAATACAACCACTCTGCACTCAACTTTACTGTGACAGAGTCAGAGGTGTTAGATAGAGCTTTACAGTAACCCCAGAGGCTGCAGTTTGTGTACTGGTTTTTCCTAGACTGCACTATATTGTTAGAATGTCTTCTTTTTTTAAGGATGGCATGTTGAAAAAAGTCCATGTGGCGTTGGTTCACAGTTGACTCATGTAGTGAGAGCTGTCATCTACAACCCAGTGTGCTTGAGAGTCATCTGCAGATCTCTGGAGAGGTCGTCTCGGGATAAGCTTAAAGTTAAAAACAGAAAAAGCAACTGTCATTTTAGAATCATGATAAGAGGTGAAGGTGTGTGATGACACACATGCACTTTATTCGGTTGGATGTAAATGACTCTGCTACTTATTCTCTTAATTACAGGAAGACTTAGTATATGTCTCTTTTTATACATATATCTTTGTCCTATTCTGCTGCAAGACAAACACGTCAGGACTCCAATGCTAAAATCTACCAGACCTTTTCTTGATGTAAGTATCAATCTGTCTTCATTTGTATGTGACCAATTCATAACAAATGTTATCTCAAGACACTATACAAGAAGAGCGGGTTAAATACCTTACCCTGTTATATTATTAACGAAGTAAATAACAACTTACATACAAAAGTCTTTGAATTCATATTTATCTTTAGCAGTTTGCTCGGATTGTATATAAAAAAGACAAAAGCAGTCCTGCTGCGTACATTTAACTTACTCAATGCATTGACAAATTATGAAGTGAGATGGGTCTGAATAATTCAAGCAACAATTTTTTTTTCTCTGCTTACCTGCTCATGGTACCTCTGATTTATGTAGCCGGCTGACTCCCGAGTAGCCATGTTTTTACTCTGACTGCTCCCTGTCTGTCAAGAGAACGGGACCTGGGGTCTTTCAGCCGACTGCGGCGGTGCCAGGACTTGAGCTGCTCGTTGACTACTTGTTGTGGGAGACCGGCAGAACGGTACTGTGGATGGTCCCATTGTGTCGGGGAGGGGGACAGTCTTATATCGGTAGGCCTCTGTGCTCTCTGTTGGGCTAAGGCAGCGTCTTTATACCGATACTCGTATCTGTTGGGAGGAGAGGGAGCTGGCTTGGTGTAATAACTCTGTGCCAAGTCCAGATCAGGAGGGTAGACCATTTCTTCATTGTAATAGGCTTTCGGAAAACTGGGACTGGATTGGTGCCTGGGATTATTGTAAAAGACAGCGCGTTGGTAGACTTGGGGTCCATAGCTGCTAACTGGGCTAGAGTGCATGACTGCAGGCTGATATTGACGGGGTGAATTGCAGGGAAAGTCCTGACACGGTGAGCTGGTGTAAGACGTAAATGAGTGTTCAGAATTGCTGTCCTCAGAGCTGGCAAGGTTCCCATAGTTCACTGCAGGGGGCATAGTCTCTGGTAAAGTTATCGTGTATTCTGTAAGTCGCCGCCTTGGACCTCTGATGCGACCACGGTCTTTTTCTAGAGGAGATTGAGGGTTGGATAACCTGTGCAAATCACAAGACATTCTGTCACATACCAAACACATTAGTATGGCTACATAGCAGACTATCTTCATTTTGAAATATATATCTCTCTTCTTTTAAAAACCCAATATGTGCAGGTAAATGATATCACTGGGAATTGCACATACAGTAGTAAGAGTGTTTTTTTTTGGTGTGGCTACCTGAGGGAGAGCTGTCTGTGCACACGCATCTCCGGTGTTGAGGGTGTGCTGTTGGACTGGGTGCGGTTCAGCTTTAGATGGGAGAGTTGCATGGGCAGAGATGATTGTGCTAAGCAGGCCTCCAAGGGTGGCAGCAACTCAGTTTTGGTTGGAGTACTGAAAACAAACATACATATTACATTTAGTTTACAGTTTGTGCTTGCCTAGTTAGAATAACTGACATACTTAGTGCAAGGGATTTATGTAAACTCAACCTCATCTGACAAAAAGAAACAAATTATTACAGTTTTTATTGCAGCTACTGACTACTGAGCAATAAATATACCTGTGTCTAACCTTTAAGTCATAATATGACTTTGAGCATGATTAACAGCTCTGTGCTGGCTCTTTAACTGTGGGAACACAGTTGTAAATCCAGATGGCACTGTTGCACATTCATGAACATCTCTGAAATCAACTTAACTATAACACGGGGCAGAAACAGGATTTTAACTGGAAATGACTTTTCTCTAAGCTGATCTTCTTCTGATCTTTTTTCCCCAACATAACTTCAAAGCAAATGTGTTTTCATCCTGCTCCATGATCACACAACTATGAAAAAAAAGCAGCTAATGTACAAAAAAACCCATGTTTCTACAACATCTTGACAGGTAAAATAATCTTTGAAGGAGTGCACACAGATATGATTCCGTTTAGATTTGTTTTTCAGCATTCACAAAGTGACTCAAACTTAACGATCTTACACTTAAAAACAAAACTGAAAACTGGCTGAGCAGGAAAGGAGTCATGATAAATGCTCTGATACCTTGTCCTGCTGGATGAGCGTGATTTCTTGCTCTTCTGGTATGGTTGGTCAAGACTCGACTCCGTCCACGGACTATGCTGGATGGGAGGAAGGTCATACGCAGGGCTTGAGTTCAAACTTTGCATAGACTCAACGTTCGGATGGGGAGACTGGTTCGGGGTCAGCGGCACTGACTGCGGAGGTGTAGATGGAGGTATGTAGGAGCTGTCTACAAAGGAGTGTGAGGACACAGGGAGAGGCTGGGGGGGTTCCATGTCTCCTGGTCCTGTGGACTGCTGTGATGACTGGCTTGTCACTTCTAGAGAAAAATAAGTCATTTGAAAAAGTTGGTAAATTGTTTATAGACTCTCCGGGTATCATTTGAGAAGAAATATTTGATCAAGAAGACCAAGAGTACTGCATTATTCGAGACAATAGAGAACTCTGTTCTTACTGGCTCACATCTCCACATGTTTCAAAGTCAAAAGGTTGCATGACAACATTTTTCTGCTTTTAAACTGCTTTTGAATGTAGAACTCATCAATTACTAGAAGACAACACATTTTAACTTTGTGGTAATAATGTCAAGGTAACTCTTACCTTCATCTTGAACTACAGAATCAGACAGTGAGCTGTCATCAGATGTACCCAGATCTGAGAAATGGAAACAGACCAAACGCTTTGATTATTAAATAATACATTTATAAGAATCTATAAAAAGCTTTGGACTCTTTGGTTAAGATCAACTAATTTATGAAGCAAAAAAAGCAGGAAGATCGTAAAGGATTTGACATGACGCTATCACCTCTACTGTCTGGACGCCTCTTACCATGTTGTGCAATATTAAAAGCAGGAAGTGGTGATGATCGTCCGTGCTCCATTCGCAGCTGAAAAGCCATCTCTTGTAGGCGTTTGAGTTTTTTCTCCTCTCTCTTGCATTGCTGTAAGCGGCTTTTTCTGACAGCTTTACTTATGTGATGTTGATCACAGATCTTTCGTGCCGCTTCATATATCTTCATCTGAAGCGCCAATTCAGCATCCACTAAACTCAGCTCTGACTCCTGAAAAAAGAAACAGACAACAGTGTGACTTCTGAAACAATGTTTCAATTGAGCGTCTAAATCTGGAGATGCTGCTTTTACCTCTGCTCCTTGAGGGATGCTTTGCTCATCCAGTTTAAACGCAGCTCCTATACGTCTGCGGATCTGCGGAGGCTTCTCTCCTGGCAGCAGAGGGTAATCATCTGACAGCCGGCCTGTCAACTCCTACAAAATGTATTAAAAAACACACAAATCAAACCATGCACAAAGAAACATGTGAACATTCTCAAAAGTCTAATTGCTGAAGTCAGATTCTGGGTTTTGTGACACAGACTAAATAAAGATATCACAAAAAAAACAGTTTTGATGTTAAAATGAACAGCTTTGTCTGAGGCAGTATACCAGTATCTTTTCCTGCACTTCTTACATGTTGAGGCAAATACGACTAAGGAATTTGTTGCATAATTTTGCTTTTGCAGATATTTCCTTTCTGAACACATTCTTTGGGTATCACTATCACTGTATCGAGTATCCATGTCAGAAAAAGACCCAAAGCATGACTGTGCACGGTTACTGGCTTCACTAAACCATCATAAGAACACTGTTACTTTGAGTCACTCCTGTCCAGCCACCTTTACAGACAGAGTGAATGTAAGTATTACCAATCAGATAACTTGTTCTTTTGACACTAAGAGCAGGGAGAGGTATTATGCCTCCTAGCAGTTCACCTGAGCGTGTCCCAACAGGAGTGCCCTGCCCAAGTGTCAACAGGAAAGAATGATCAGTCCTGGGATTTTAACCCAGGAGCACTGACGCATGAGATTCTCAGAAGTGTGTCCAGTTTTGAAATGACTGTGGGAATTTTTAGGTTTCATTTTGATTATACGCGTCACAAAAAGAAGCAGAAAAGATTAGAAATGAAGGGTTGATATTTGATAGAAGGTCTCATGCTGGATTCAAATCCAAGCTGTTACTGGAACATAAAAAACACATTGACTGACTGAACTTCTCCCAAAGCAATGATGCATATAAAAGTCAACTGCAGCAACATTACTTGATCTGATTTCACAACAATGTGGGTCTTATAGAAAAGGGAGAATATTTGTATGTTGGCCCCATGGTTATCAACACAGAGGGACAGACACCTATCCTTTCCTCTCAGTGGAGTTAGTGGGCAGAGAAAAAACAATGCAACAATAAATCCATTTTGAAGCCAATTTAAACAAACTAAAAATGCAAACATTTTGTGAAATACCTACGTCTTTTAAGCTCATCAACTTAGTAAAGTCTCCTGGTTTAGCGTACTGCATTAACCTGCGGAAAATGCGTCATCGAACATCCTGTCCTAAACTACCCCACCTACTTCATCTAACAAAAAAGCTGCTGAATCACACGCAGTATTGGGAGCATTTAGTTGCAGCTTGTCTGATTATGTAACAGTTGTTTTTAAGTTAGATTTTGTCCAAGTGTACTAAATAAGCCTTTAATGAACTTAGATTATAACAATTATGTGACTCATTTCTTTTTGATGTGATTTAATTTTAATATGCACACTCAGTGGATTTTTTTTAACTGTTGGCTTGTTGATTCCTTCTACTCACAGCTTCTCTGATGCAGAGTTTCTTCAGCTCCAGTATGCAGATCTCCAGGCTGTCTTGGAGATCTCGATGTTTGAGCTTCATGGCTCGCGTGTGCGTGGTCACATCCTTTGTGTGTGTTGTTGGGCTGTCCGAGCCTACAAAACAGAACAAAACACAGGCCTTTACGATTATGTGACTTCTACAGTTACACTTTTTTATTCAGTCCTAAACATGTGAGAACAAAGTGTGAAGTACTTAATACAACTTGACAGTGAAATACATTTCCGAAGTATTTTTCCACTACTGGAGCACATCCATTATTTTATTCAGAAAGTACATCTGCACTACATTACTTCAGATTAACTCTCATAGCCTCTATAGCAAACACAATGACTGCATTTAAAAGAACCTACCTGTTGTTGCTACCTTTGTTTTCATTACTGGCATTCAAAAATGAGTGTGAGGATCTTCATAACTATGTGAGTGTTGGACTGGCGCAGTCTGTAGCCGTGGTGACTAATGACATTAAGATTAGGCCAGTGGGAGTGGCTTCAGGCGACATGCATTGACCGCCACATACCTTCAGAGATTATTAACTGAACTCCTGCAGGTATTTACAAACAGCTGAGGTGCGACAGGAAGAAGTGTGACAGCACTATAATAGAATAAAGAATTCACCTTCCAAGAGTGACAATCCCCCCATTCATTCAGGACCTTAACTTTTCATTGTATGAAGAAGACATCACGTGGCTCAATTAGGGCGCAAAGAATGTCAGAAAGAGCAGAACGAATCAGTAGACACTGCTGAGTGAAGAGAAAACACATCTATCAGAACAACTACTATTAGCATGTAGGACGGAGGAAACAATATTTAGGACCAACATTTATTGACTTTACTTTAACAAAATCGGAACTAACATCTAAAATACAAAAAGCAAAAAATTCACTTAAGTTTCACATCCTTAATTCATTAATGATTATATCAATTAAATGTATGATTTTATCGATAACATGCCAGAAAAGAGAGAACACTTTCCATAAAATATTTAATTCAGAACCTAAGATGATGTAAATAATTGCTAATATTTATGTAGTTATAAACTTATCACTTTAAATACATTATGTATCAGCCCTTTTGTTCAATAAATATGTTAAACCATCACAAGAGCTTCATTTTTTTTTTTTAAATCCTCTCAAGAAAGAGTGATGATAAATCCACAGACTGTAAAAAAGAAGTGTAAAACCTCTTTTTTCAAAGCCAATACTGAAGGGCTTTTAAAATGCATTCTATCTACTCTCTTTTTATATAAATGCAGGTGCTGTTTAGGGTAATATAGGAGAAAAAACAGTAGAAGGCTTTATGGCACAACTTCCTGTCACAGACAAAGTGCTACAACAGACCCCTCCCAACCTGAATAAAGAAGCAGCTTGAATCTCTCATCCATATGGTCACTTCTTACTACTGCTAATAACCAAGATGGATTTTGGCAAAGATACAAAACTCTAGGCCAAAAACCAACAGTTGACATCATAATGACTGGCAAACAAGTCACGATGAAGCACATGCATTGTATGTGTGTTTGTTTTCAACTACTTCCCCAAACACATACAACATGGCAGGACTAGTTCATGTGGAGAAGTGGAAGGTTGACTGAACAATGTTGAGCTTGATACTTGGCCCTTAAACCAAAATTACATTTTTCACCAAGGGAAAAATGTAATGAATGTAAGAATCTGAATTTTAAACTATTCAGATTCTTAAAAATCAAAGAATATTTTTTTAATCAATTGTTCATAACTTCATTCCTGTAAATGTACTTTGTTTCTCATAATCAAAGTAGTTCACTGAAACTGCTCATTGTGCTTTTGAAACATTTGGGTTACCAACCCAGACCATCTGCAGTCCAGCTTGTTTTCTGGTAACTTCAAGTCTCATGATGCTGGCCATCGTGGCTGATGTAGATTTCAAAGAATCAAGATTTAAAAACTGTGAACAACAAACTTTTGATGAACTGTGTGGATTATAAATGATAGCATTGATGCATGTGCCCTCCTACAAGCTGTGATTCCTGACACTAAATGAATGGAGGAGAAGTTTTGACAAATGCTGGTATTTGGTTTGGCATTTGGAAAATGTAATTTTATTTGAGGGTGTCAAGGGAGACCGGCAAAAATAGTTTGGGAAACACTGATTCAACACAAAGACGACTGTGACTGGGACAGCTCTCCTTCTACAAGATACTAAAATGTACTACACAAAAATGCTTACCTGAATGAAGGATAATGCCGCTGTCAGTGTCACTGATCTCTCCGTTGAACTCCATGTAAATTAATCGACTTTGTGTTTCTGTTCTTTAGAGGGCAGTGTCGACTCTCACCATTTCCTGGAAAGTATAATGTAAGTGTTAGCAAAAGCATCTGTCATCTGTGGCACTCTTAAAACAGAATACATATCTAAACACCTGTTTGTAAAACAAACCCCAAACAAGGGCATTTATTTCATAAAACAAAGGTTAAACTTTCCATTTTGTCCTGTTTGTGAAAAGCTTACAAATATTTGAATACAATAAATGTTTAAGTCTGGACTCAACTGAGATGCCTTGTCAATAAGTTGTTGTAAGTTTGAGTTATTAGCCGACCAGCTGTAAATTTATGAAATCAACATAAGAATATAGTTTTGGGACATCTAACAAATGGTTTAAGTTCCAGGGCTGAATGTTGCAAATTTGGTCATATTATTAATACAGTGCAAAATTCTAAAGAATACAAAACATTGATCATTAGGAGCTTGACAAAATATTGATAATGTCATATGTTGTTGCCCTAATTAACGTGATACAATTATTAATTAATTAATTAATCATGCACTTGACCTTTTTACGGACATTTTGTATTCTTTAGTTAATCAGATATTGTGATGTATCCTGGGCCATGTATTGCGTACCGTATAGTATCTCGAGTTACCCCGCAATTCCCACCCAAGTTAAAAATATACATTTCACCAGCTCATGCTCCAAACTGAGCAGCCTTTGACACCACACTAAGGCAGTAATAATTCTCCATCTGTCGGTAAAAAAAAATCAAAACACTGGGGTGAAGCCTGAAGCTTCCATGAGTCAACTCAGGGTTTGTGAAACTTAAAAAACAACTGTTAATTCTGGATTACAAACAAGTACTTATGTTACAGCTGATGATAAGTCTAATTCCAAAACTAAATCTTAGTTGAAACAGCATTAGCAAAAGCTTTCCAAAGCCGGCCAATTACCACATCTTGTTGCTGTAGTGATTCAGGTGTGACCTACAGTAAGGTGTAGTCATAGCCTCTCACAGAATGAGTACACACACGTTGCCATGTCTGGAGTGTTTCCTGTGCCTGCCTGTTTGTTTGCCTCTGATGTCATGATCGTCATTATCGTGTTCCTTCAGATAATAGGCTCAGGCTGCAGGAGCTGAGCCCTTATTGTCAGTATGTTTATGAGCTGCCATATAGGTATATGTACATGTGTATGTGCTGGTGTCAAATAAAAACTGTGAAACTTGTTGGCTTGATTATTAACTAGGAGGTCGCAGTGATTGCACGAAGACATTGAGGGAAGTTTTTCTCAGTTGTTAGTAGAAAGCTTCCCAGCAGCCGTTGTTTGGGAACACGACTAAATGAGCTGCAGTTATCCGTAGCAACTAGCAAGAGTTGCTTGTTGTTGTTGCCAAATTTGAAGGAGTACAGGGATCAACAACAAATACCACATCACCATCCCTAACATGACACATCCTCCACACAGCTCATATGACAGTGACTGGTGCATTCACACCCCTAACTCACTGATAATTGGCTGCTGTGTTTGCAAAATTAAGGTGAAAAAAGCCTCTGTGCAGCACAGTCAAACAACAAGCTGCAGTGCTGAAAAACAAACTAAAACACAAGTTAGACAACTAGTTTTACAGCCATTAATACTAAACGATTAAATGACCTTAATTAATTAGGCAGATATACATGATGGTCAGATGGCTAAGCTAACATATCCAACTAAGAGAAACCTTTTTCAGTAAGTCTACAAAATAAAATAAAGTGTTGATTAATCCCATCACTAATCCATTTGAATAATATCCCCATGTTGTGATAGGGAGACGACCTAAAAGAGCTTTTTTTTTTTTTAACAGACCATCAGGCAAAAACCACAACTGTTTGCAGTTGAAACAATACGAACTAGTACAGTGGCAGCAAAAGTAAATATCTCAGAGGATGGAACTAAATATGTTTGCCAGTTTTGCTTGATATTTTTCTGAACAAATATAAAAGTGGTCGCTGGTTTCAGTATTCTGTTCATTTCGGCCATGTTGATTACCTTACTGATCAAACAACCAACCTTTTTCAAGACTAAAACCCAACAACAGTGCTTCAAAACACTGCAGGAGAATTCTTTCAACCACCCTCAACAAATATTGATCAAGGCAGAGCTTTTAAGTGAAGGAATCAAAACTAGTGATGTGGTTAAAAGCGTTGTAGGTTTGGGGAGCTTCTTACAACAACAAAAAAAACATTGTTAAGGGCACTTGTTTGGGTTCAGAGATACAAAACATTCATACAAAGCCGGGCGAGGAGTTGTGCCCTCCCTTGAAGGTGCTGAGAAACTATACTGACCTTTGAAACACACTGACCGAAGACATTCAAATCACAAGCAAAACACAAAAACCATCATTCCACATTAATCCAAACACACCCAGACGAAAACCAGATTAATGAAAACGATAAAACACTGCAGGATGGAAGTCTAAATAAAATGACTTACTTCAAGAGAATTCTACAAAGTGTCAAAATCCAATGAGCCACTGAGCTCCGTCAGAGCGTGTGAAGAGTGTGGACAGCAATGAGAGAATCGCTCTGACAAAGTGCTGCCTGCTCAAGAGGAGTGGCCACAAACAGAGAGCTGAACACTTGAGTCAGGATCATAAAACTCTGTGTCACCGTCTGTCTGTGAAACTGTCATCATCAACAAAAGATACTGAAAATGAGGCTTCACTTCATCCTTTATCTGTTGTGATAGATAGGAGCTGCCAAACTAGACTGAGATGTATGACAAAGAGATGTGTGCAACAGGTTAAATCACCATCATCATCATTTGAGTACTAAAACGACGAGTTCTGACGAGTAGATTGTCAGAACAATTACTGGCAGCAATTTGGATTCATTTAGCATATTTTGGGCATTTTTAGGCATAGAAGACATTTGAATGGATCCAAGGTTCTCTAATATGAAGAGTTCATGATTTTTTTTAAAAAGTAAAGTGAAAATATTTTTGGACAAAACAGATCAAATTAACAGTCTCATCGAATGTGGATACTTTATTTTAGACATTTCCTCGTAAAAAAAGGGCCTGGATTTTATTGACGAAACAATTGGTTTGCCAAGATTTTTGACAGATGGATCAAAAAGAAAATACACATTAGATATTACCGGAGTCATTTATTCACACAAAGTTATTTGGTCATTCAAGCAGTCAAAGTGGCTATTTTATTGTTTGGCTTTATCAATCATTTCTGGGCTTGGGTTTGTGTGTTAAAGCTCCAGTGAGTAACTTCTGGTTTGTGTCATTTTCTGTGCCCCTGTGAATTAAGCAGCATGTCTTAGGCCTTGCTGATGATGTCTTTTATATGGGTTAGTGGTGTTTATTTTTTAACAAAAGATGACACCCTACTGTATTTCCACAGTCAACTGTATCACTCACTGTGAATCTTTCACTTCATCTGACCCCTACCCCACAGCAGCAGTTTAACTCAGCATGGTAACTTCATAGAAAGGTCTTGTTTGCTTTTGTGGGTCATATAAGAAACATTTATATATTTTTTTACTTTGTTTCAGTAAAAAGTAAAAAACTCCTCAGAGAAGCTTTAACTTATAAATATACAAAGCTTAATTTAACACCATGCGTTCATCACACTATATATCTGCCTGATGATGACTTTCTCATGATCTCCATGGCCTCCTGTGATTACAATGAAAACAGTAAACTGAGTGAGACACTTCAGCTCCGAGAGTGCAAAGATCAAATATCTGGCCACTGCATTCCTGCTGCCATCTTCTGGTCGTTCGTCAAAAGTAAAACTGAACAAGCAATCATGCACACACTAAAGTATTAGCTTGGATTTCCTAATACCTTTCTTAACTTAATCTTGTTTCTGTCTTCTTAGAGAATACCAAAGCCAGAACTCCATTAATGCCACCAGTAAAGAAAAAATTAAAAGAAAAAAAAAGGCAAACATTCAGTGGTGGGATCGTCCACTTGATTTACAGAGACTTGGTAGCAACACCTGCTCTGTGACTGCATGACTCACATTCACTCTGAATCCCAATATTCATTTTGGCTTTCCAGGAATGTTGGTGCTCCAGCACTCTGAGAAAGAAAACGGTCCAGCAATTCCCAGACACTCAAGAATCAGATCTCAGATGACATGGCACCGAGAAAGCAGCAGCAGCTATAGTGATAAACAGGGCAGCAGATATTTGGTGAAGTAACCTCCACATTTAGGTTTCATTCCTTTAGGTTTGGCATTCAAATACTGTCAAATATATTGTCTCATATGCTGTTTAGTTGACATTAGACAAGTTAATAACATATTTGTAGGCACTCGCAGCCCACCTTAAAATACCAGCTGCTGCCAACATTAAAGTTTGACCAGTGAACCAGCCGACTGATACACTGATCAGTTTCAGCGTACATTTGAGCTAATAACTGACTCCAAATGTACAGAAAACCAAATCATGCATTTTGAAATTGTGTCATTATGCTATAGTAAAACATAAACAAGTGTTTATAGAAAAAAATCATTAAAATGACAGACAGAATCACTCAAACTGCATAAAAAATATTCAGTACAGATTCCACTTTTGCTTTAACTGATTTGGCCCTGGGGCCGGTCCTGGTTCTGATTTGTCAAGTGAACTTTTTGGCTGTATAATATGGAGTTTAAATTAGAGCCCGACCGATTAATCGGGCAGCCGATAATATCGATTGATATTAGCATTTCAAGTGTATATCGGTAAATGTGTATATCTATATCTATCTCTACAGATCTAAAAGCGATATCGTTTGATACATTGGTATCAGAGTTTTTTTCCCTCCATAATATCAATATCTGTATCGGCCCCTAAAGTCCCATATCGGCCGGGCCGTAGTTTAGACTTCAGTTCAATTCCACAACAAATGACTATATCAGCCGACACAAGTGTCATGTTTTACTTAAAGACTCGAGACATCTTTTACTTACTTCCAGCTGACAACTATCTGTGATTTTTTAGTCACATCCCTGTCATTTTGAACGGAACCATTCAGCTGGATGGACTTTAACCGGCTAGTCAGTTTAAACGAGAGGTACCTTGAGGTGCAGCTCCCAAAGTCACATCGAAAGTAGTTTTCAAAGTAAAAATGATGCTGTATTGTGTATTCTGATTTTTTTTTTTAAATCTCATTGTATAACATCATGAAGTGAATGTGACCTCCATGGATATTTCAATCCCTAATAAACAACGAATACTCCAAGAATGCTAAGAACAAGATAGCAGCAGCTCGGTTCACTGACCCTCTTGACGTCCTGTGTTTTCTGAAGAGCTTGAGAAACAATTTATTTTTCTTTAACTGCCTAATTCAGTGACTGATTATTTGGAATTGTTGACTCTTGGAGGGAAACCTAGTGTGGTGTAATATATAACAAGCAGCTTGGTATTGAGTCAATTGTAAAGTGATTGTGGGCGATTTAGTTTGTAGTGCTTTAGTAATTCTTAATTCTGACTGGTGTTTCTGATATTTTTCACTGAAACCATGACGTAAAAACCAGGATACGCTAGATAATAGAAACTGCTCTCAATAAAATGCAACAGAATTTAAACAGCACTTTAAACTAAACAGCTACACAATTGTTATAGACCTGAATTAACACATCTCAGTCACATGGCTCACAACAACTGAACACACTGATGTTCATCATGAAAACAGGATTTATTGCAGGACTGGTAAATTAGGTTTAGCTACCTGTAGCTGATAAACTGAGTGTTGGTGACCAGAGGTGTGTCACTTCCAGTTCCCCTATGTTAAAAGAATAACAAAGCAAAGTAAAGAAAGAAGCATACCAATCATTTTGATAACTTAAATCAGATAGAAGGAAAGTGCAGTCATGCCGATGAACTGCACTCTCTTCTGGGGAAACAGTTAAGAGGTTAAACAAACACCGATAGCGACAGTATATTAGCAGCTTCAACTACAGTGCAGATAAATGCTTGATGTAAAGAGGACGGAAACAACTGCCCACAAAACATATCTGCAACAGACACAAACACTCTTCCAGTATCTAAGAAGACAGTTGGTGGATGTCATGGATAGTTTTTATAAACCAGCGGTCCCAAAGGGACAGAGAGACAGCTTTGTGTAGGCGACACAGCAGCTGGTTAAACAAATTCTTTAAATATTCTCGAGTCTCTTATGCTGTACGGCTAGACTACTGCTGCCGCCTTGTGAAGAGACATCAGCTGCCAGGGGATCACCCATTTCCCCCTAAATTTGTGGCAGCTGAGTTCTTCCACCAGGTCCAATCATATCATGTAGCTTGAATGATGCTTAACTCAAGCTGGTGTCATAAATAGGGGCAATAAAATTCCACTAATGTGTTACAAATACTAAAAGGCAAACAAAGCAAGTCTTGGGGCGCTGAGTTCCCTCCTATGTGCCTGCAGTCAAGCAGTTTTAAGCATCGTTTTGCCTTAAAGCTGCGATTAGGTCAACTGAGGATGATAAAAGAAAAACATAGGCTACTGGTTTTATTTTATGTGGATCACCTAATTAGAAGTGTGTGCGCACCACAATACAAATCAAGCCTTCACCCACCCATGTCATATCACTGGGACACATTTAAAGCTTGTCTTGTGATGCCATTGAGTTTATGTTTTTTAAGGTTGTAAATGAAATCATATTCACATTTTTCAGATGTAACATACATCCTTTCAAGATTGTCTATTACTCCAAAATGTACGCTGAATTATTTTCCCTTCAGGAAGTCTCTACTAGAATGTCAAATTAAAGTTTGTGTGTTTGAATACATTTTGGCTGCAGGGCATTTTTTGTAATTACTGTCCTGCTGGCATGTCAGGGGGGGTTTCAGGGGTTAAGCTGCTTCTGTCCTTTTGCCCTCTGGGTCAATGGTGAGGAATGTGTAGACTGCAGAAATATTTCAATGCACGGAAATCACAAACTAACTGATGGTACTATTGCACTGCAGAAAACAGTAAGAGATACAGTTGAAAAAAAGTGTTGTGAATAAGATGAAATAGGATGTTGCAAGCTCATAACTTCACATATATGTGTAGTTTATGATACACCTTTCAACGTTGGTTCTCTTTTGCAATCCAGTAACATTGTCTATGAAAAAGCAAGGGACTTTGCATGAAGCACAGAAAAACTTTAAAAGATGGGATATGAGTCAGACTTTAGCGTCCTAGTAGCAAAACAAATTAAAACAAAAGTAGTCAGTAGTTTACCTCTGCATCAAAGTGAGAACTACACAAGGAATCTACAAAAAGTGGCTCAAGATTCAAGTCAAATAACGTCAAAATTAACTGTTGGAAAACGCATATCTACTAAATAATACATATTTTATTAGTATTTTTGAATGCATTGCATGAAACCCTCTCAGCTTTGCAGAGCTGCTGTTGGGCCTCAGCAGTGAAGAGTTTCACAAACTAAAAAAAAAACTCTTTCCAGTTGAATGCTTTCCCCAAACCTTAAACGATGCGCTCCCAAACCCAAAGGAAAAACTACTTTAGTAGCACTAAAACAAACCCATTCTTTACATGCACACACAGTAAGTCCAACAAAACTTGTATACAA